CTGTTTGCAAGTACACTAGTACTCAGTGTGAAAAAGGGTAACAGAATATTGGGCCCTATATTGACTCTTAAAAGATAAGAGTTCAGATTGCTTGATGTTTTAAAAAGGCAGAAAATGTAAGCTGCTTTTATCATGTCTGTTCAAACCAGAGGATTTAAATAGAAAATGCCACTAATATTTAGATTTCTTTTCTTTAAGCAGCTCTCAGCTAATTGCTTCTGTGCTCTCTTCAGAATGAAAATGGTTTTGGATTTACATGGTGACTAAATGACGATGAGTAGCTGTTATTTTGTACTGCTGTTCATTAGTCTGGCCCCAAATTCACTCTCAGCTGATGAAGTTGCTATGAGTGCCTGAGCAATGCTTGTTACAGAGACATTATTTCCCTGCAAGCCAATGAAAAACTGTCATCAAGGTTCCATTTTAGATTTTATCAATGTGTTCCTGTTGCCCTAGCAACTAGAATCAGCCTATCTCAGCGAGGCTTTATCTTGTGGCTTTTATAGCTGGGAGCTTGCCCCACTGTGCACCATGTGGTTCAGATGATTAGTTTTTCTTCACACAGACCTAACTGGCAAAGTGTGTTGGGAATAAGATAAGCATAATTTATTTTGTGAGTGGGGAGGGTCCACACTTTTGCTTGTCATTTTTTTTTCCTGTCATAAGGAAGCCCACATTTTTCATAGGTGCTGGCAGACAATGGAGCAGATGTGATTCACACCAGAGGAGCTGACTAAAAGAGTTATTCGCTGCTTGCTTAGGAAACTGAGGAGTTGCCATGTGATGAGATCTTAGTAGTACTGTGATTATAGGGTGCTTATACTCTGATCTGACTGAGATAATTGCTTGCAGTTTCCTAAAGGTTGTGAGTTTCAAGGATGCTTTCCACGGGCCATTCACAAATTCTAACTGGAATGTGTGTTAGTTGTTTGTACAGAGGGCTTTCAGAATGGCCTAAAATAGAAAAGAGAAGTGGGATTTCTGTGTAATAACAGCTATCTTGTTATGTTGAGACTTTTGGAAAGATAAGCTGAAAACAGGATCAAAGAGCACAGTCAACGAATTTCTACCCTTTGTGCCGCTGGCTCTTTGTATTAAAGTAGTGTACTGTAACTGTGCAGGTGCAGTATCATGTGGATGGGTAGCTGCATATAGAGGTAGCAATTAGAAACACTTATGCTGCAGCAATAAGGAGAGGAACATATTGGACTGGATTTGAATTGGTCAAATCGCAATAAAAAGAAGTACAGTATTGTTAAAATTGCACTGCAGACTACAGTTGCTGCAGCAGAACAGTTTGAAAATGCTGAAATTAAAGGCTTTCTGCTTGGATTATTGGCAGTTTTTATGTCTTCAGCCTCTTCACGGTTTTTATAAAAGGTAAGAGAACATTTATTCTGCATCCCAGAACTGAATGATTGCACATCATGTTACCAGTGCATTTACTTGCTATTTTGTTCAGTTGTTGGAAAGTAAGAACGTGTTCAGGAGAGAAAGGCAGTGCTAGGAAAATGAATGCAAACTTGTGTTGAATGTTATAAAGCTGATTTGTATGACATAGAAATCAGCCACTTTTGTCTTGTGTCTGCAAATGTGGAAAGTGGTGGTGGTGTTTGTTGTTAACATTTGTGTTAAGTCAGATCAACTCAAAAGTAATAAATGAGTTTCAGTTATCTATGTTATTTTTTTCCTCAAGCATAATCACTGCTGCTGTTTAGATTATAGAGTATAAATAGTGTTAGGAGAGTAACTGGAATGTCATGAAAATGTATTTAATGCAGGTAAGACTTTTTCTTGCAGCAATATTCAGTAATACCACAGTTCATCTTTCTTTTGTGATCCAGAATAAAGTACACATCACAGTCATTCAGAGCAGTGGCACTTCACCGAGGCAGGTCTGACAGAGAGCTTAAGTGATTGATGGTGGGTAGTGATCATAAAGAATAGCACTGGGTGTCAGATGCATTGAGCTTGTCTGTTAATGGAACAGCAAAATAAGCAATTCCATTTAACATGTACCCTGAACTTATCCTCATGCTTTTCATCTAAACTTCAGTTTTCTCACTCTACAGAATAAGTTACTAACTGGAAAAAAATAAAAACATGATATATATATATTCAGCTGAATTTTCTTTTTGGGTATCATCCAAAGTAAAAAAAAAAAAATAGAATGCTGCTTATTTGATTCTTTAAAAAATTGGTATAATTAAAATAAAATAGCATTCTGTCCTTATTCTGTACACTGTATTGTAAGTGTCTATTGTCAGCCCACAGAAAGTGCTTTGTAGTAAATGCTAATTGCAGCTGAATTTTTCACACAGTGATTAAAGGCTGGGGAAGGGAACTATTCTGATCTTTTCCAATGAATTAGGGTCCCTCCGTCCCCCATTTGACTTTCTGCGAAATGGGATTATATTCAGGACTGGCATCCTGCAAATATTTGGGAAGATAGCTTTATATTCCCCTTTTGTTGGTTTTGTTGTTGTTGTTCTGTTATCTTTTTGGTTTTGCTTTTTTACAAGTTTTGTATCTAAGCAGAAAGATTCCAAAGTTAGTCATATGCTTCAGGAGATTTTGTCATGCACAAATGAAATAGGACTTATTATATCTATATCCTCTTGCATCTGCCAGCTAAACCTGGTACTGTTTTCCCAGCCTATTGTGATGTCTTCCTTTTGTGCTAGGAAACTATGAAGTGTTAGAAATGCAGCCTGACACTAAGGTACACGGTAATATATATCTAAATATAACTTTGTCTTGGGTGGGTTCTTGGCTAATTCTCAGTTTTCAAGCAAGGTACCCTAGAGTTGCCTTGTGTCTCTTGGTAGCTGAGAGTCCTGGATTCACTTCTATACAGGTCATAAATTTGTGCATTTAGGCTCCAAACCTAGAAGGTTCACCAAGACAGGCTCAGTTGCAGGACAGGGTCCATAGGCAGTCAAAATGAAGAAAAAACATTAAGGAAACTCTCAACTTTCTCACATTTTTGTCAGAAAATAGAAGAGCTTAATGAGGAATTAAGCTTTGCTTTTTAAAGCAGGGTGACAAAAAGCGTGTGAAAAGCAAGTTGCCCAGAATGAATAATGAAGGTAAACGCATGTAAGTACAGATTAAAATATGTCTCATTTTCTTGAGACTTTTAATTATTCTTCATTAGTGATTTAAAATGTATTTAAAATGTTCTTGGACTGCAGCCAAAGGCTGGGGATTTGGGGGGAGGGGGAGGCATATATCTTTAATTTAAATTAAGTTACCCAAAATGGAAATTTGATTAACATTTCCATAATATGGTGCTCACCACAAAGATATTTGGCAGTAACATTATGGGCAGCACTAGGTAGCATATGTAAAAGAGGAGGATTCAGGCCTACACATAATGTTCCCTTGAGATCTAGGTGTGGGACCTGGCTAACAAGCCCAGTGAAGATCCACCAACTTAGGGAAGCAAGGTAAAATCCTCATCCCACCCTCTCCACGTGCAAGTAGTGCTATCAGTACCACATCTAGACTCTCGGCGGCCCTGGCTGAACTTTTAGTATTGGGCCCCCCTTTGCCAAAGATAATGATAATAATAATCGGACAACGGGGGAAAAAGGCGGGGGGGGAGGGGCATTTTTTAGCTCCCTTTCTATCCGGACCCTAGGCAGCCTCCCGGTTTGCCCATGCCTGTGTCCAGTTGAGTGCTATTAGCATCAGATCTTGTTTAAAACAGGAGTTACAAATATTGCAGAACATATGGTCCTTTTCCTCTTGTTACCCATGTTGTCCTATTTTGGCAGAATGGCTCTAAGACATGCTATTCAGCCATGAGTACTCTGCTTGGCGCACACACACCCTTGTGCACCTGACTCTCAGGAGTACAGCTGAGCAAGCAGTGTGGTATAGGCTACATTACTAACCTTCTCTTTCCACTGGAACATTTGGCCAAAATATAATGTGATTCTCAGATTTGTTTATTACTCAGCAGTATTACAGTACATTTTTGTCAGGTTAATAACACTGACTTAATGTTCCAAATTCAATAATCAAGTTGTGCAGCTTAGTGGCTGTTAGTCGATCAAAATTTACATGGTCACAGTATTGCATAAGGATTCACTAACACACAACTTTTGTCAGCATGGAAGCTTGGGGCCTTCTTACACAATACACTTAGCACATGTTATATTTAGGCCATAGTAAGCATTAATACAGCTGAGAGAGTTTCTGAGCAGTTGCACATTAATGCTTACTACAATTTAATTATAGGTTGTAGAACTCCACAGGAGTCTTGAACGGGCTCTGTGCAGTCCCAGGGCTGAGACCTGAAATTCAGCTGGTCTCGGCTCTATGACTGCACAGGAACCAATTCAAATTTTGATGCAGCAGGCACCTGGGAGTGAAACTGGCACAGCATGGGAGTTGGTTCTAGCCCTCGCATTGCATGGAAATTTTGAACTGGCTCCCATGCCATTTGGGGACTGGGTGCCAGTGTTGCTTTTAGCCTCCGCACCTCACTGGAGCCTTGAAGCAACAAGGCTCTGAGCCATTGGGGTGTGGGGGAGGGGGGCTGGGAGCCCAACAGAGTTGTTTATCAAGCTCTTAGCCTCCGTACTGTACCAGAGCCTTGAATGGGCACTCCACTGCTGTGGAGCTTTGCCCCAGAATCTCACTGGAGCCTATTCAAGACTCCAATACCATCCCAGGGCTAAAACGGAAAATCAGCTGATTTTCCATCTCGCCCTGGGATTGCACCAGAGCCAGTTCAAGGGCGTGTGTAGATGAAATGAGTTTAAAAACCCACCGCTTCAATTTAGGGCCCTTAAAACCCCTGTGTCGTGCACACACCGCACACTTATGTGCCTCTCTCCGGTGGCAGGGAGGGGAGGATGAGCTGCCAGTGGGCGGAGCAGTACTTCTCTCCGTGGCAGCAGCAGCTTCCCCCAGGTGGCACCCACCTGCAGGCACCTGGCTCGGGTGGTCCCGTGGGGTACTGCAGCCACGAAGGGAAGTACCAGCCCCCACGCTGCTCAGGCAGGCAGGCTCTTGGGTGGGGTGTGTAATCAGGCTTGCCACTTTTCTTGGGCAGAGTCTCCCTTCCCAGGCTGCTGCAGGGCTTCCTGCAAAGCCCCTGAGCTGCACAGAGCCCAGTGCTTCACTCCACGGCTGTAGGGGCAGCAAACTAAAACTCCACCTCAGAGTTTTAGTTTGCTGTGCTCAAGTCATTTAAGGAGCATTATGCCGCTGAATTAATGTGCAATATGCTGCCAAGGCGCGCAAACACTGACACCATTAAAATGGTGCAAAAGCATTTAGCCCACTTTAAAGTGTCATGTGCACATGCCCCTCGTTTCGTCTATACACGACACAAGACTCCAGTGCCAGCCTGGGGCTGAGACCAAAAAACAGCTGATTTTTGGTCTCAGCCCAGGAACCTACCAGAGCTGGTTGGAGACTCCTATGCAGTCCTGGGGTAGGACCCACAATCAGATCTGGGGGCATACCCCACCCTTGCAGTCTTGCACCCCACCCTGGCTGTGTAGCACCAACCCCTCCCCCAGCCCCACTCCCTTTTTCACCACTGCATGCGTGCCTCTTTCCACCGCTGCTGCAGCCACTGGAAGCCTGCAGCTGGGCTACCTTGTGGCCCTGCCACTGGCATGACTGTATGAGCTCTCGTGGTGCTCAGGTGAGGTCCCAGAGGACTGGAAAAAGGCCAGTGTAGTCCCTATTTTCAAGAAGGGGAAGAAGGGAGGATCCAGGTAACTATAAACCAGTTAGTCTCACCTCTATCCTTGGGAAAACCCTTGAAAAAATTATCAAGGATCACATTTTTTGGAGTCTAGCAGGTAATATAATGCAGGAGTTGAGGTAGATGCCATCTACTTGGACTTTAAGAAGTCCTTTGACATGGTATCCCATTCTATTCTTATAAACAAATTGAACAGCTGTGCCATAGACGATTACACAGTCATGTAGGTGGCAAATTGGCTTAGAGTCATACCTGAGAGTTGTGGTGGATCGGTCGGTATCGACCTTGAAAGATGTGGGAAGTGGGGTCCCTCAAGGCTCGGTCCTTGGGCCAGTACTGTTCAATATCTTCATCAGTGACTTGGATGAGGGCGTGGAAAGCACTCAGGAAGCCAAGGGAGGTGGTGCTCTCCCCGACCTTGGGGGTCTTCAAGAGGAGACTGGACAAGCACCTGGCTGGGGTCACGTGATCCCAGCACTTTTTCCTGCCACTGGCAACGTGTAGGGGGTGCACGGGGGTGCATGTGTACCCCCTGGGAATGCCAATACACCCCCTGACGGCCGTGCTTACCACTTAGGTGATGGGCAGGGGGGCAGGCAGGAACTCCGGTGCCCTCCCTGCAAGCACCAGCCGATTGCTGCGCTTGCTGCAG